AGGGTCCCTATAAATTCCATATTAGGTTTTATAATAGGAACCTACAAAAAAGTAGGGTTTGGTAGTTTAAGTCCCAAATGTTAAGCCCGAAACCCCTAAACCCTAAACCCCTAAACCCCTGAACAGAAGTCCTAAGCCCAACATCAGGAGCCGACGGCCTCAGCGCAGGCCCAAAGGGCATCATCCTTAGCGGAGCGATGGAGGGTTTGGGGTTTAGGGTTTAGGGTTCAGGGTTTAGGGTTTAGGCTTTAGGGTTTTAGGGTTCTGGATTCTGCGAATCGTTCGTGTTGCATATAATTAAGGGGTACTATAGAGCTTCTCTAACGGTCTATGAGTTTAAGAGGTACCATAAGGAAGTACGAGACAACCTCACAACCGGACATGTAAGATTCGGCAAAAGGTACGACTCTTCTGCACGCACGTTTTGGTTTGGGTTCAGGCTTATGCATGGATGATTAGGGCTGACGGCAGGACATTTCTATCAGCAAGCGCTGAATGTCAACTCAAAAATATGCCCTTCCTATCCTACTCCAAAGCCCCAATCGTCCCCAATAGCAACATATGAGTAGTTCTCTAAATTAGGGTCCCTTGTTAAGTCCCCAATGCAGTACGGCACCCTTATAAAAAGGACCCCCATAAGTGGCCCGAGTTCAGAGAACTACCCATAGACTGGGTCCTCAACCTTGAAACTTGTCATTAAATCACAAATCCACCATACTAAGACACCAGGGGTTGAAGGTTTAGGGTTAAGGGTTTAGGGTTGAACCACACCAAACTAATATCTACGTAGCAGCCAACTTCTCAGGGGACTCTGCTTCTGGCACCTTTATCAATTGTAAGACCCTAAGGGTCCACGTGCCCAAACAGTATATACTCCTCCTCAAAGTAGTCTTTATATAGGTACTCTGGGGCTAAAGTATATACTCTTTGGGTACATGGACGCTTCGGGATAAGAATCCGCCGGTCACTCTTGTCAGGCTACATGCTGGGGGTCCTTATGAAAGCAGCTTGATTTGGACTGCGAAATTCAGCGCTGAGTGGCGGGGCGAGCGGCGAGAAAGGGCCTCACTTAGGGTTAGTGTTTGTCGTGTTTTTGTTTTGCAGGGCTTCGTAGGAAACAACTT